GCTAGTTACTAAGCTTATTAATAGCTATATAGATTACTTTAAATACCTCCTTATTTACTAATATTAGTTTTAAGCTAGCTACTTTTAGCCTAGTTAGCTTTATTTTCTACTTATTATTTATTACTCTATATAATTAGTAAAGTAAGTATTTAAATTAAGCTTAAATATATAAGAGGTTAGCTTTTAGTTTATTTAACTTAGGGGTACTTTAATTATAAGAATTTAAGCTAAAGAGGGGAGGGTTTTAGGAAACCCTTTATATAGAGGAAAAATAGGTATAAGGTAGTAGTTAAGTAAATATAGTTACTAAGGGTAGAATTCTCTTAGGTTTATAGCACTGCTTAGATGTTAATAATAGGTATAGCTTATAATACTAATAAGTTTATTAGTAAACTAAAGTTAACTATAGAGTTAGCTTAAGCTGTTATTATAATAGCTTAATAGATAATAAAGCAATTAGTAAATACTAAAAGGATATTAATAGAGTGCTATAAAGTAGGTAATAAGGTTTAGTTATTATTAGTAAACTTCTATATAGAATAACCTTATAAGAAGTTAGATTAATTATACTTAAAATATAAAGTAACTAAAGTAATCTTACTAACTATAGTTAAGTTAAACGTTTTAAATAAAGTTTATAACTATTTTTATATTAGTTTATTATAATATACTATAAATAACCTACTCTTAAGTTATAAAGTTAATAATCCTTAACTACTACTTATTTTTAAAAATAGAAAAGATAAATAGGAGGTTAAGTTTATTCTAATAGTATAATAGAAATATATAAGTAGAGGTAGATACTATAAGTTATTAGTTAAGTAATTAAAATATAGCTAGTTTATTTAAGAACCTTTATAATCCTTATAAGATAACTAAATAGTAAATAAGTTTAAAGAAAAATATAGCTTTATAGATAAAAATAATAATAACTTTTAATATATAATATTATAGTTAAATAATAATAAATAAATATAAATAGAATAAAAAGAAAAATAATAAAGTAGTTTATAAATAAAAAGATAAAAAGTAGTAAAAAGATTTTATTATAGTATAAAGCTATAAAAAAGTATAATAAAGCTAAAATAAACTTAAAATAAGTAAATAAATAAGTAAAATAAAAACTCTAAAAATAAACTTTTTACTCCTCTTATTTAGTATAAATAGTAATAGTAATATTAATAAACTAAAAAGAGTTAGAATACTAAAAATAAAAGTAAAATAGAGGTATAATAGATTTTATAGAGGATTTTAGCTATATCTAAGTAAATTTAAGTAAGATAGTATAGTTAAGCTTTATTAAGTTTAACTAAAAAAGATATTAAAGTAGAAGTAGTAATAAAAGTATTAAGAATAAAAATAGCTAAGGAATTAATAAAAAGTATAAAAGAAATATTAGTATTAGTAATAGTTTTAGTAGTAACTTTAATAATATATTTCTCTTTAGTTTTAATATAGATCTTATAGCTCTAAATAGAAGTAATATAAAGAAGCTTTATATAAACTTTAACTTATATAGAGAGCTAATAAAAAAGTTAATAACTTTATTAAAATAGTAAAATAATAAAAACTTATTAAAATCTTTTTATTAATATTATAATAAATAAGATAGTTATAACTAAGAGAAGTAAACTCCTCTTAATAATAAACTATACTTTTATTATTTTAGTAGATTATTAGCTTTATAATATTAAAATAATAGAAAATAAGTATTTATATTAATATAAGCTAACTTAATAAACTTATTAGAGTAATAAATATACTAAATAATATTACTTAAAGAAATAATTAGTTTTAAAATAAACTTAAAGTATAAAAATAATATATCTTATTTAAAGATATTATAGTAAGTTATAATATTACTAAACCTCTTAGTTTTAGCTATAATAGATATATACTTTAAATAAGAAACTTTATAGAGAGGTTCTTAAGTATTATCTAAAAAGATATTACTAAAAATAAGCTAATATAAATAAAAGCTTTAATAAAATATTAAGAAAGTAATAAAAAAATAAAATAGAAATATATAAAAATAAGTATTTTAATAATAAAATAAGAAGAGAGAAGCTAATTAAAGTAAGTATATAAATTTTAATTTTCTAAAGTAAAAAAGAGGTTATTAAGGAGGTTAAACTCCTTAAGAATAAGCTTTTTATAGTTAGAGAAACTAATAAACTTAAAATACTTAGAAAATAAAGTGCTATTAATAATAATAGAAAGAGACTCTATCTCTATATTAAAGTCTAATAAAGTAAGCTATACTAAATTAATTATAGTGAAATAATAAAGAAAAAGTAAGTATTTTTATATAAGTAGTATTATTATAGAAGTAAAGAGAGTAGATTAATTAAATCTAAATAAGTTAGTAATTAATAAAGATTAAAAGCTAATTAACTTATATAAATAATAAGCTAAAAGTATACTAAAAATACTACTAAAATAATAAAAAGTTAGCTAAAATAATATTATAATTAATTAATTAACTTATTATTATATAGGTTAATAAGAAAAAGAAAAATAGAAAGTAAACTAAATATAAAAAATCCTATTATTATATTATTTACTTATAAAATATAAAATAGTTAGTAGCTTAGATTAATATAATATTAGCTTTATTTATAGTTTATACTAACTACCTTTAGCTTATACTATAATTATACTTATATAAAAGCTAGAGGGGGAAATATATATTATAAGCTATACTTATTATTAATATCTAAGTAGTACTATAGACCTAGGAGAATTCTACTCTTAGTAACTACGTTCGCTTAACTACTACTCTATACCTATTTTTCCTCTATATAAGGGGCTTCTTAGAACCCTCCCCTCTTTAGCTTAGATTCCTATAATTAAGGCACCCCTAAGTTAAATAAACTAAAGGCTAGCCCCTTATAATTATAATAATCCTTCTAGTTAATAAAATATAAAAGAAAATATTTTATACTTATTATAACTTTTTAAAGTTAATTATAACTATTACTAATACTTTAGCTTTTATACTTCTTTATTTATTAGTAAAAAAGCTTTAAAATTATACTTATTTTATTTAAAATCTTTTAATTTTCTAAGGATAAAAGGTCTTCTTTAAAAATATATTACTTAGTGTTATTATTATTATTATTTAAAAATATAAAAGCTTAAATCTCTATTTTTTTCTCTATAGCTTTCTAGATTATAAAATATATATTATTCTAGTAAGTATTATTATTTAAAATAAAAAAAGCTTTTTAGTATAACTTTAAGAAGATTTAGAAGTTAGAATCTCTATTAACCTCTATTATAGCTTTTTAGTATTATTTATAGCGTTATAAAGATACCTAAATAAATTTAATAATATTATAAAGCTAATTAATAAGTTTAAGCTACTATTAATATTCTAAATTATTATTATAACTTTTAAGCTTATAGAACTATAACTTAGTATATAGAGTCTCTTTATTAGTATTAAATAGGAACGCTTAGGCTAAGAGATTAAGGATATAGCTATAATATTATATATATTAAGCTTAGATATTTATCTCTATTATCTCTAGGTTTAATTCTCTATAGAAAGCCTAAAAGTAGATATTATTATTTATAATATTATTAGAGATAGTTACTCTAATTTAGTTTTAAATATAATAGTAGTTAATAATATTAATAAAAGTTATTATAAAAATAGTACTACTATAATTACTATAATATTAATAAAAAGCTAAAAAATAAAATTATAAAGTATTATTAGTATTAATAAAGTAACTAATAACCCCTATAAAAATATAAATATTTAAAGATATCTATAGATTAAATAATAAGTATATTTTTAACTTTATTATATAAAGTTCTTTAATTACTAACTTCTTACTATAATAGTAAATATTATTAAGATAGTTCTAAATAGATAAATAACTCTATAATATTTTACTAATAATCTTTATACTATAATATTATAATATTTATTAGAAATAAGAGTTCTTAAAATAAATAAATAAGAAGTTAATAGAAATAATTAAAGCTATATAAAGATTATATAAAGTAGTTATTTTAGTTTTAAGTATATTTATATAGCTAAATTAAAATTTCTTTAAAGAAAATAATATAGATATAGCTATTAATAATAATATTAGAATACTATTAAAGTTTTTATCTAACTAAAAAGAGATCCTATAGATTATATAAATACTTTAGCTTTATTAAAATATAATTACTATAGAGAAAAAGCTTAAATTAATATATTATAATAAATACTTTTATAAAGTAGATATAATAATAGCACTAAAAACCTTTAGTTAGTTTTTAGTATTATATTACTAATAACTTTAATAAGATCTTATTATATATCTCTAAATAACCTTAATAAAGAAGTTATTATAATCTTAAATCTAGCTAAATTAACTTTATTTTCTCTTATATAAAAACTATATTTTAAGTATATATTATTTACTACTAATAATAATGATTAGTAAGTTATTAATTATAAGATTTAAAAGGATAATAATAAATAAAGTAGTTATAATCTATATAGAGATATATAAATATATAGTAGTTAATAATATATATATATTATTAATTAATAAAGAAGTAGTAATAATAGTTAATATCTTAACTCTAAAAATAAAAAAGATAATAAAGAGTATAAATAATATATATAAACTAAAATAATAAATAACTTTTAGAAATAATATTTAATTATAATATTATTTATATTATTTAAACTATTATAATAACTTCTACTCCTTTAAAAAGTTTTATATTAATTAAGTATTAATTAGTATTATAAGAGCTATCTAAATATCTTTATTATTATATATAGTAATTAATAAGTTATTAATAGCGTTATATTTTAGTAACTAATTATACTTAGAAAACTAAAGTAGGAGCTAATCTATAGCTTCTTATTAGTTAATCTATAAATAATATAAGATATTAAATATTTTAATTTAATTAAGGGATATTAAATTAATTAATTAAGTAGTAGTAATAGCCTCACTTTACTTAGTTAGGTTATTTACGTTGTTAATTTACTTGCCTTTGTGGAGGCGCTGTCTAGGACGTCAGGACCCCGTCTTAGACAGCTAAAAACGCTAGCCGCTACACCTGAAGCTAGCATAATAGCTGAGGCAATGAACAGTGTTGAAATCCAAAGCCCATTAACCCGCATCACTAACCGATCTGGCGTTCTTGTACCCGTAACGTTTTGAACGATGGTGTTTTCAACTCCTAGAAGCATCCTGTGCGTCTGAAAGTTGAAGTTCCCTGAAATATTCAGAGACGCCACCGAAGAAAGCCAGAATGTGTTGAGAAGCTGAGAAAGTCTTTGGGAGAACACTGCATCCCCGACTTCGTAGATGTCCGTTCCATTCCAATTTCCAATACCTGGAGCGGAAAATGGGGCATTCGGATGGGTGAAGTAGGTCTCTAATGGTGAAGGGAATGGTTTGTACATTCCCATGCCCTGGGCCTCCCATGGTGTTTGGGTAATTCGAACGAGCGTTTCCATAAATGCGTTAAGAACTCCCGCTGGCACGAGTTTCTGGGACCCTTCTGCTGCAATGCCACCCAATACCGTTCTCACTGTCATGTTCTCCGGCTTCTCAGTTCGTCTAATGCGACGAGAGCCACAAACAGGTCCTTGGCAAGCAACGTCAACTTCGGCATGCGTCGTTGTGATAACACACGTAGCATTGGTGGTTATTTCCTTCGGTAAGTAATAAGCTTCGAGTATGAGATCCATGGGTGTTTTGCTGAATATGTTGCGAACTCCGGCGGGCCTGATGATGAGAACCCTGCCAGTGTTGTACAACCCAGTTTTATTCATGTATTTGGACCAGTTTCCGAGGTTCATTGCTTGTCCGCGCCGTACTGAGCAGTCTGCGTTCATATAGGAAGTATTCATGGTGAAAGAATAGTTCTGCCCCCGAGAAAAACCGCCCTGTGTTGCAACAGGAATGCCCATAATGGCAGACCAAATCATATCAGACCCATTGGGGCTGACATTGTACCAGCCCTCGGGATCGGCTGTCGTTGTCTGTGGATAGTGTTCAAGCATCGGAATCTTGACGTTCCCGAAAGCATCTCGAGGCCCTAGTTTGACTTCCTCGGAACTGGATAGAGCTGAGATGAAGGTCCCTTGAATCGAGGGCATAAGACTAGATCCGGCCGAGCTCACAGGACTCGAATGTGGAAAGACGGACATGAACTCGAGATATTCGAATGGATACGGCTCCGATACTTGTGAAGGGATCATCTCCATTATACGCAGAGCGGCCTGGCCTCCTAGAGGTGACATGGCCCAGAGAGCGACAAGGAACGGTACCAGAATGTTTGCACGCCGTAAAGTAAAGGGTGTCGTTACTGCACTGAAGACGGTGCGGCAGCTAAGGAGGTACTCGAGACTCAGAACCGTGACGCCTCGCTCCATCTTCCAGCCGGCTGCAGCTTTCAGCAAATTCGCAGCAACAGCGGCAAAGGCGATAGGAAAGATGGTCGGGCTATATGTTGCGGCCATGCGTAAGGCTGGAACCGGGTCCTCATCAATCGGCCTCCCATTATTCTGGAGGGCCATCATTCCGTAAATGATGAAACATATCGATGGTATGATGAGGAGGGCATCAAGAAGAAATTGCTGGATCGCGCTGGCAGAGTTCCTACTCCTGACGCCGTGGGAATCCTCTACAACGGCGAAATCGGTCTTCTTGTCGGAGCTGCTCTCGCTCATGAGGCTTTCGGCGGGGTCGCTCTCATAGTTTTGCGACGCGACTCGTTGTCTGTCGAGACTTGGGCCCCTAGGGGAACTAGAATCGTCTGTGATGCTGGACATGATGCGCAACTTTTAGAGGATAATGCATAGAACCGAGCGTGTAACGTAACAAGCGCTAGCATCAATGGATAGCGCTACGATGGGTGAAATGGTGTTATGGTTTGAGATTGACGGCACGGTGGAAAGAGGGGTACCATTTTGTGAAGAATTCTTTTGTGAATTTTTGTATAACTAAGGATATATAAGAGGTCCCCCTTACTCTAACTACCCCCTATATATCTAGTAAACTACTCCTATTAACTACTACTACGCTATAGCGATTATATATATATTTTTAAGTTCTTTTAATAAAGCGTTATACTTTAATAATATAAGATACTTAATTTAATTAATATTATATAACTTATTTATTTTAAAGTTTATTTTAATATACTTAAAATATCTCTATACTTTAGTTTAATAATATATTATTTTATTAAAATATACTAATAGAAAGTAGTAGTATATTTAATATACTATTAAGCTTTATACTAAGAAATTAAGTTATATATATAAAAATCTATATATTTTATCTTAGTTCTTTTAAGTAATTATAAAAAAGCTATTACTACTTTTAAAGTAATAATAAATAGTATTAATATAGTATAGTAATAATATCTTAATATTAAAGGAGTAATAGGTTATAGTAGTATAAAGAAAGAGATACTTACTCTTTATAATTAAAGTAATTTACGTTCTCTTTATATATTCTTATAAGTAGCTATAGAGGTTTCTCTATAAGCTATCCTAGCCCTTAATTATTTCCCTATGAGAGTTATATAGTAGTTAACAAAGTGCGCCTCTAGGCGGCAAACTGTAAAGAAGAAAACTTAGAAGGGAAGAAAGAAAGAGGGGTACTCTCTGGTAGTAATGCGTTATGTGCTGTAACTAGAGACATGCTGTGCCTCATGCTGTGCCTCATTCGGACTGAATGTCTGACAGGGGAAGTGCATTTCTGCCTTGAATTCATATGTTGGTTATGCTTGGCAGCTGAGTCGTCTGCGGGGCACAGCATACGCCTCAGGACGCAATGTGTGTTCACAAATACTAGGTACCTTACGCTGAGGAACCGAATAGATACCTAAGACAGCTGTAGGTAAGGTAAGTGTCATTACGACCATAGACTGCGGTAGTAAATATGTTCCTGGCAACGCGTACTGACACCGAATTCAGTTGTACGCAAGTACCACTTCAGTGCGGCCCCTTACACGACAGCTTCTAATCGAGTTTTCCCGTCTGCGCGGATATTTCTCGCTAACCGGGCGGATAGTGGGCATAGACGACGACAGACATAGAGAGAGGGATAGAAACGGTCATGACAGGAATAATCAGAAGGACATGGACGATAGTGATAATGAAACTGTTGAAACGATCTAATTCAGGTACTAAGTGATCCGCCCTCTTATTTAGAAGTATCCGCCCACATACCAAAACTCTTCTGATCTTCTATCCCATTGGGGTGACAATACTGCGTGTGATAAGCATGGCTTCCGGGGGGCCCATGCTTACCGCGTGAATTGCCATACTAAAGCCAAGTCCGAGTATCCAGCCTCAGCTCCTGCAAGTCACTGTGATACATGCTCATGACAGGCTCCCAGCAGCCTTTGGCGGGCGTTTGACAGAAGAGTCCCTCAAACAGGCCAGGTGGCCCTCCGACTCCTTCGAATCGTTACAATACTACCCGTTTATATTTACATACCGACGATCCGGAGAAGACAAAAGAATAGTAAGATACCTCAGCGTGTTATCATATGGAATCTACTTAAGGCTCTCACACTACTGAAAGATTTCCATTCAAAGTAGGACCCCCAGCAGGCAATACGTCTGGTTGTGCTAGTATCGACGGAATTTTACTTTAAGTCCAACTGCTGCTGGTGAGACAACAGACGATCCAAACAGTCGTGCCCATTTATAGCGGCTGACCAGAGGGAAGACCTTGCGCCAAGGCCAACAAGTTAGACACAGTCCCAACACTAGCTGGCTCTCGAGTGAAGCTCTCATTGTAGCCCCATTGCGTGATGTACAAACTGTGCACACCCTGTGCAACGATGGCGTTGATGTCGGTCTGCAAAGTAGACAGTGAAGCAGGCTGATACGGCTGCCAATCGTCATAGAAATCGTGGACGACTACGGCAGACTTGGCTTTCTGGGCTGCTCCGGATGGCAGAGAACTCAATGATGCAGGCGTGAAGGGGATATAAGTGCCACTCGGGCATCGGTCTTGTGGCGCATTCGGATCGCTGGTGTAGCAAGTCTCGATGGACAAGATGGCATCGGCGACATCGTAGAGCGAGTAGCTGGCGGTATTGACCGGGACGCCGGGGTTCAAGACGACGATACCAGTTTCAGCCTTTGCATAGTTTGACACTTGCGTGTAGTAGTCGAGTTGGGCCGGGTCGGTGTTGACTTCGTCAAAGAAGATGCCATCGATATGAATATCGTACGAGACGCCATCCCAACCATCTGCGGTTGTCCAAGCAGCGTAGGTGTCGACACCTTGCTTGACAATCGCGATATCACGGGGGTTGGTTTGTACGGTTCCAAGGGTCGAGATGTAGCCCAAGGTCACGGTGTTGGGGCGCTGGTTGATTTGGCCGATCCACTTGGCCCAGTCGATCTTGATACCGGCTTCGCTAGCGAAAGGCGGGCCGCTTGATGGGTTGATGATGACATTGAAAGTCAGATCCGGGTGGGCGTCGATGGCTGCGATGGCGGCTGTCCAGTCGACGGTGCCGTCGTATGGCTTCACGAGGTCGTTGATGGGGTAGACATATAGAGGTAGGAGGATATCGACGGCAGCTCTTGCGGAAGCCACGAGGGCGGCTAATGACAGGAGAGACCTCATTGCTTGAGACTTGATTGAGGTAGTGAAAGTGTCGATGGCATTGCCCAATCACTAAAACTACTCACAGTCCGAGAGATTCGGACTTTTATAGTCTGAGGTGACTAGGCAACAGCTTTCTGCAATGGTCAGCTTCAAGCTTCATTACTTGGCTAGAGCGGGCTAGAACAGTTCCCTGTAAGTGTGGACTGATGATTTGACACACCCTCGGCTGGGTGTCTAAGACTCCCGATTGGCCTAGCGAAAGTTGAACGCCTCGTGATGCGAAGTCTCAACTACTTGATGTCATTTGATCTACTCACTATGTAGCTCCAATCAATTATTTGAAGTAATTCAATAATTCCACGAAACTTTTGAGAGCGCAAGACATAGACTTCAGGGTGCTGAGACTTGTCAGGGGTGATGAACAGGCGAGGTTGAGACTAGTATCTCGTAACCAAAGGACTTCCTTCATGAGTCCATACACTAATTACCTTTCGGTTTTGCCCCACACACTGAAGATGATGTGCTGGAAAAGAAGGCGAGAACACAAGACCGGGCCGATGGATGCGAGTTGGGCTAGCTGATGTGAGATTCGAGCCAATATTGGCCAGATCTGGAAGCTGCCGAGAACTTGGTGGCAAATCGGCACTAGACGTCAAGTAAGCCAAAGATGAGGAGAACTCTTTTCACTTCAAAAGAATTGGATCGAACATGTTCGTCTGTTACGTTGTCCCGTCTGATGATCAAGGAATCGAACTGGTCGCACATACCCCTCAAATGGTTAAATGCCCCAAACAGTTCACATAAGCCAGATCTGATGGTGAGTGAGACATATGGCGTGCAGCGCTCTGATGCCTGGTCCATCCTGCTTGGTTGTATTACACCGGTGTTCACTGTGGATAGACAGTAAGTCGCCAGAGTGCTATGATGGCAATGGGCATGCGACTTGATGAGTGCAATAATCACGACAACGTGTTTGTGAAAACATCTAGCGATTCAAAAGATGCCATACAGAAATCAAGACGTAAAGCCGGATTCGGACACCAAAGCCCAGCCCGTGCCGACACCGCACTCTCTCGGGCCAAATCGCTGCCAAAGAAGATCATGTGGCATCATGACAGACCCGCATGACAGCATCTTGGTGAGAATCGAAATGACCCGCCCAAGATACTGCTAACAAAATCTCAATTTTCTTGAATGATACAACCACAACAAGTGGCGCAGGACGGGACGGGTCGCGGGAGTGAGATCTTCACAAGCGGGTCGGCGCCTGTGGCTGCCGTCCCGACCACCAAAGATCGGGGTCTCGGGGCCCGTAGTGTCCGCGTTATGCAGCTGCGACCCGCTTTCCCGAGGCGCCGTCATTGAGAAAGTCTCCGATGACATGCCGAAGGATTCTGATGGGAGGAAACGCCTCTGTAGGTTCAATCACGTCAAAAGCAACTTTCAAGATGAGAAGGTCTGAACCAGGGCACCGTTGCTACAGATCAGTGAATCAACCGAACACGAGTCCCGCCCAGATCAAACTGGACCCTGAACATCGCTGATAACCCATCTTGCCCACATTCACTGGGTTCAATAGTGGGTTTTTTCCGAACGCAGTGGCATCCATCTGTTGCAACACTTTTGGTGTTCGATGTTCGTTGCAATCGCTAAAATGCTGCATCGATCTGCTTGGCAACAGTTGTTCCGACCCCCGTTTGACAGCTCTGGGAGACGGACTTCACCCACCTTCAATCCCGGGTATCTGACATACATGGATTCCCGGGCTTTAGTCTCGTGGCCACCAGAGCAGCGATGACGATCCAAACCCGGGTTCATTCTATGTAGCGGCAAGGCATCTCACCGTTCTTTGTCGGACAGAGTCGGGAAAAATTGAACGCACTGCCTGGAATCTCCAAGGTCCTTCGTGTAATAGCCGCAATATTACTCCGAGCGGGATGCCGTCAGAGCCAGCGCACGGAGACGACCCCCGTGAGACGGATCCCGTCCAAGGCCCGTCGAGTTCCCGGCCAAGATGGAGTCGTAACGCTAGCACGAAACTCTGGACAAAGTAATTTGGTGCCGAGCTTCAGTGGAGATGGCAGATCGTAGCGCAGCCTTATAAAACCCTCCGCCGGCGACAATGCCATCCATCACAGTCGCCTTCAGTTCATGTTACTTCAGCATCCAACAACTAATCAACATCCATCTTATT